GTATTTATTAAACAGATTTGAAGCTGTCGTAACATATACACACTAACAATTGCACATAGTAAAGACTTGGCAACTCAAACTGCCCTCATACTGACAGATGGTGTACAAGGTGTTTTGCTGTACTTTAGATGTCTGTTGGTGAATGTGAAGAGTCCTGGTTGATGTCTGGCACAACATCGTTGCCATCCTCGTCGTAATTTTGTCCTATTCACCATATCAAAAACATTTTTTTTAATCAACAATAAAGTAATAAAATGTACCTTTTCCTTGAATACGTATGTGCTAAAGAGTAAAAATCAAATGCATTATCAATTGTTGAATGTCCTTCTCTAAATCCAGATTGCACTCCCATCCATAGTGTGTGAGTCTTGTATTGATTATGGATGTAAACACCTTGCCCATTCCATCCAAAAGAGTTATTCCCCTATAGTTATTTGGGTGTAATCTGTTTCCTTTCTTGACGATGGTTGTTATCAGTCCCGCCACGATATGGCTGAAATATTGCCGATGTGACGATAACTCACTCACTCACTCACTCACTTACTCACTGCTATCAGTCCATTGTTCCATACTTGTGGAAAATATCCAGTTTCTAGTATAGTATTAAACAGCAAACACATATAAGGTAAAATAAATTCTTGCGATGATTTCAATGTTTCTGGTGGTATGACTTCAAGTCCTTGTGATTTCCCATTGTTTAATTTCTTACTTGCTTGTTTAATGTCATCTTCTGTAATTATTTCACTTCCTGTAAAATTATCACACATGGCATTAATCACAATCTGAACAAATATGTTCTTTAAATCTTTATCAATGTCTGGATTAAGTAAGTCTTTGAAACATTGAAACCATTCACCTGGAGACACATCATGAGTTGATTGGTGTTGATTTTGAGGTAATATCTTTACTGGCCTCCTAAACCGTTTACAGTTTCAGTTGATTGCAGCTTCAGAAATGTCATGCATAGCTTTATTTTCATATTCACTTTTCTGCTGGCATATGCTTTGAAACTGTTTTTCCCAATTTGATATATTCTGCAAAATGTTCGCTATTCTTCTTACGTATGTCAGAATGAAAGCCTGCATTTGTGAGTGATCTGTTACGGTTGAGGTTCACAGTAGTGAATTCATTGATCTATACCGTTTTGCACTACAGTTTTCAATGGTTCTAGAGTCAATGAATTGTTGTTTTCCAAGGCAGTCAGAAATGCATCACATTTTTCGTTTTCCCAAGTCACACATGGGTATGGTCATGTTGGCGACAGTGAAAAGCACATGCATCTCGAATGTTCACTATCACTTGGCGCACTTATGGTTGTTGTCATGAGCATATGATCGGACAGCGTTTCACTTCCAAAGATGAAGGATTTAATATCCCCGAATAGGCCTAAAGCCACAACACAATTGTCGATTACTCTGCAACCCTTGGATCCGATGAACGTATATTCTCCGTTTTCGTCGCCAGTCCTTTTTGTGATTTGCATATCAAGCTGACAACATAAATCAATTAATGAAAGCCCATTTCTGTTAATTATTACATCTTTAGATGGGCGAATCATGGTGAAGTCGTCCTTTGTGTAGAAAGTATTATCTAGCGGGAGATAGGTAGTTTCGCCGTTAAGAATGGAATCTTGCATTTGGCCAATCCGTGCATTACAGTCACCAAGTAAAACAATTTTGCAATCTGGAAGTTCATACAACTTACGTTCAAGTCCTTCTATGTCACTGTTACTTTCTGCATCCATCACTGTGTTTAGGATCTATATATCCTGATATGATCTTGCCCTGAATCAATCCGGAACATAGAAGAATACACAGTCGTCCCATTCTCCATGGCTCTTCTGAAATGAGTGCTAATTTTAACCACAATATAAACGGCATTCCTCCGCTATATCTACATTTCTTATGTACTTCTTTACGAATACACTGGAATGTTGTATATCCTGGGAAAACGTCCTTGAAGTCTGTATCGTTTGGTGCCAATGTCTCTAAAAGTGTAAACATAATTTATGTGTATAAAATCATCTTAAGATCTCCAAAATAGTTTGACGTCGGTCATTCATGTTCCAGCATAAGATGGAGACATCAGTAATCATTTCGCTGTCTCTCAAGCGTCCATCAGTTTCTTGAAGAAGGAATCTGTTGTCATCAGATCAATGTATTCTTCGCCAAGTTTTCAGATTCCAGTGTTTTGTGGTAATCACCAATCCAAACGTGTTTGAGGATGATGATCGCTCAGTAGAGGACGTGTGTTGACCCATCTGGAGTTGTACCCAAGTCTTCTTACGTGATCCCGGACTGTTTTCGTAGAGACCCAGAGACATGGTAACCAGTTATGCTTCAGAACAGTGCTTGTGGTAGAGTGATTGTCGTAGAGTGAGCATCAACAGTGCCCTGTCCTCACGATCTGACGTTTCCCTGGATCGTCCAGACCGTGGGGGATACTTCACATCGTTGGTTTGCCTATATTTTCTGACCAAACGACTGACAGCTGTGTAGTGGGCATTCATTTGCCGACCAGTTGATTTAAAGGACATGCCGGAATTGTTGAAACCAATAATTTGCCATTTCTGGCCATTCAAAAATCTTCTTCGGAACATAATGGCAGATAAATAATGGAGTTGAATTTGGTTTTACATCGCATTGACATTATTTCAGCCATATACCGAAGAGGCCAAGAAGGTATTCATACAAATGTTAAGTACACAGTTTAAACGAGGTTTTTAAAAAAAAAAAATTTACTTTGAAATAATTGAACATTGTAATTCATGCAGAACAAATACCGAGAAACTGCGCTTGTGAACATTCGTGGGTTTACTTCTGGACAAGCTTCACAGGGTGTGTTTGACAGTATAGAGTAAAGAATGTGCATATTTAAGTGTCTTCTAATAAGAGGGATTGCTTCGGACTTATCGTGATCCATTTGTGACTAGGACGGTCATTTGAAGGTCAAAATCGGTTTTTAATCAACTTGCAGAAATAGCAATAAAGAACTGGTAGGTGCCATGAGTGGTGATTGCTAGGGCAATCATCCATGATTTTGTTTACATTTAGTTTTATCAGTTGTATGCGATGGCAGCGTAGCGATCGGCAAAGCAGGGGGTTGGGGTGCACCGACGTTTCCAGCGTTGTCATGATGTATTGGACTGTGAAGCATTTCAAGTCTAGGGTCATCTCATTTGTAGTTTTTTAATGTTTTTTATCACCCTTGCAAAGACACGAGTACCTGATTTATTGTACTGTGAAACATCGAGTTGAGGGTTATCTCAATTTCTTTTCTTATAAATCTTTAATTCTCGGTGGGTGAGTGAGTAAGATAATATTTATCGTCACATCGGCAATATTTCAGCCATATCGTGACGAGAGAACGTAATAGGGCAATAGAAAAGTATGAAATATATTTAAAGGTGATACAATCCTGTCGCCAAAGGTCATAACAACAAGGAGTACATCACATTGTATTTAAAACTAGTTAGGGCGCATATGACATGGTAATAATCTGTATGTAATAATTGGCTATAGATCGCCATCAACTGAAGGTAGGTCACCAGATGCTCGGTGGGAGCCAGCAGCTGGGTTGCTGTCAAACATTCGAACCGTTGGTCCAGCCGTAAGTGAGGGACAGCAGCTTTGGTGAGTCACGTTTGACATTTTTATAAGAGGTTTCGGTGGCACCTAATCTGAGACGGGTGATCATGATGTCGACTTGCCTGTTCTGTGAAGGGCGGGGCGGTTCTCCTTGAGACCATGATACCAACGGGTTTTGACAGAAGTGCTCCATTGCCTCTGAACTAACTAGCCATTGGACTTTTGATCATACTTTGAATTTCGCTTTTAGAGTAAGGATGATCCAGCCACTCGTCCAATTCTTGAGCCTGTCTTGATAACCTGTCTGATCTCTCATTGCTGGGAATGTGTCTATGTATCCAACACAGCGTGATATCTTTCCCATTATACCATTTTTGTCTTTGTGTAAGAACCAAGGCAGGCGTTCTAAGATTGTTTCAGTTTTTGTGTATATTTGGATACCATAGGCGGTTCTGTCAAGGATTCGAACGGTGTGCAAGTTTGCTTGGTCGTTCGATAATATTCAGGATGGGACACTTTCTGGTAGGTGGACCTTACTGTAAAGCAACAGAAGGCTTTTTCGGCATCACTTGTGTCTTTTCTTCCTGAATACTGATTGGGTGTCCATTACGTAAAATTCCTGCTAGTTTTAACAACCATTTTAATTAAAAAATGATATCGTGATGTTTCATGAGATCGAGCAGTGACACCATTCATTTGTTCTGCTCTCTCATTGCCGGGAATGTCTATGTGCGATGGTATCCAAGTATCCAAGACAATGTGATTTCTTTCCCAATATACCTTTTTTAGAACCAAGGCAGGCGGTCTGAGATTGTCTCGGTTTTTGTGGCTGTGTATATTTGGATACCATAGGCAGTTCTATTTCTCACATGATTCTTCGATCCGTCAGTATAAATGTGAGCCGAGTGTGTCTATTCTACTAACTCTACTGGTTCGTAGCAACATGGGATTCTCACCGTCTCATCTCATATTCACGTTTTACCATTTAAATATGTTTTTTTATTGTATTTGGCTATCACGGACAGTTGGCAATGTAAATATGTTTATTAGACAGTTTCGTATGCTGGCTATTGATGTGTTTAAGCAGGAATGGCATCCAACTATTAATGAAAGCTCTAGATATGATTCATATTGTCAGTTTAAGTAGTTGCTAGAGCAAGAGTCTTATCTTGCTCACCTACCCTACAGAAATCTTCACAATGCTTTTATACGCTTTAGATTAGGCCTTAATGATTGAGTAATTAACCGTGGAAGATATCTTTCTATTGAAAAGACACAGAGATTTGTGTCCATTCTGTACCATCATTGAAGATGAATTCCATTTCATGTTTATCCGTCCCGTATATGAAGAGCTTACGACTAAGCGATTTTGAGCAGTTTCCTGGCTCAAGGCGCTATAAAAATGACTAACTTATTTGAAAATCTAAGAAATAATTATCTAACATAATTGTCTTTATCTCAAATCAATGTTTAGTTACTATCTTCCGTACTTTCCTGCCAAGAACCTTCAAAACAACACAAAGTAGGCCTATTTAAATACAATGCATTTTTGTTAAGAAAAGAAATGATTAGTTAGAAAATTGATTTAATATGTCATTGTTGATATGTATCTCTTTTGTATATGGGCCTATGGCCTTTCATGCAATAAAGAATTGAATTGAACTGACTCTTTAGGCACTTTAATGGGTGAGAGAGGTGTCGTCATTTGGGCATTTTAGTGTCCTTGGAGGACCCGATCACACACGTGTTCTCGCCTAAGCTTGGTTACCCTGAGCCCACCTGGTGTAGTGTGGGGTCTTTTGGCAAGCCAATCTTTGATGTAATCGGAATACAGATCGTCTTTCCATAGTCTAGTGACAAGTGGGTTGGAGCACCGGCTCCAATAGTTCAACGTCAATTTCCCTCGTCTGAGACTGAGTGGTAGCTCGACAGTTTCCACTAAAAGGACTTGGTGGGACGGCCACGACGCCGCAACTGTGGCCTGATATTGTATTGATTCAAGCCGGTTTAGTACCGTTTGTGATGCACTGTGGTAGGCCTCGCACCCATAATCCATGTTGCTTCTGATAAGGGGCTTATAAAGGGCCAGGATAGTGTCACTGGTAGCTCCCAAGAGCTGCCTGATACAGGTCTCGTTGAGGTCTCTTTGACACATTTGTGCCAGGTTGACAACATGACTCGACCAAGTGAGATGTTGATCAAACACGACCCCGAGAAAGTTGGCATGTTTCTCAAATTTGACCCCTCTGCCCTTACCTTTAAGCCTGGGTGTGTGGCAATGTCCCTTCTAGGATTCCATAGTAAAACACTCGACAAGATCTTGTAAAAACTGTGTTATTGTTAAGTTTACGGTTTCCAGACCTCACATCAGTTATCAACTCTTCTAGGCATATGCTTCAGATACAGAAAGAATTGTACATTGTTCGTGATTACAGAAATGATAAAGTCGTTATACTTTGATTTTTAGATTTTAAAAATTGAGCGGAAACAAACCAACATTTTCTTGAACCAGTTATCTCTTATAGATAGATATTCTCTCTACGTTTACAATGCCATTATTATTTCTATATGAAACTGGTTTTATTGTAGCTGGTACCATTCCTTACTTCATCAGAAACGACTCCCAACGTCAGTTCTCACTGTGTACGCACTCTATATCTACACACATAATTCATGGGATAATTGTCATTGATTTGCTATTTGTGGATTGCGTGACTCTCTGTTTATACATTTTATATGTTCACACATTTTACACTTATTGACGAGGTTCGAGCTTGCAGAAATACCTTCTGAGATCGTACGACAAACATAATGGCAACATCTGGGGCGACACACCAGTATATCAGAAACGTCTGTGTTTTGTTACATATGAATATTTGATGTTATCTGGACAACACGTTTCAGCAATACGCAAGGAAATGTGGTTTAAATCATACTTCATTCAGGAATATATTATCACAAGTAACTACAGTAACGTTGTTCAGTCAAATTATCACCTATGTCAACTCTACAAAACAATATTTTACATTTTAATAATACAAATGTCTAAAAACAAAATTTCATGTTTTTCAGTCAAGCACGGCGCCTCTAAATGTGAATACCCAATGTCATTTAGAAAGTGTTCACATGTAACATGTTATATTTCTGATTACATTTTCTCAGTAAAGTACAGATTCTAGCAGTGTATGAAATAATCCAAAACCCCAGCCAGACATCAAAATGCTACCAATCCAAAATGGATTTAACCAGACCAGACAATACGATATGACTCAGATGTAGAGCGGTGTCGGGTACTACCAACAAGCGGCTATTACCGAACAAACGATCGTCTGCTCCTTAAATATACTTCAAAAGACGCAGAGAAGAAAATTGACGAAAAGACAAGCAACCGAAATTACACCCTTAAACGTGGTGCGTATATCGGCGATGAGATGGCTAAGCCAACAAGTCTTGGTCAAAACAGGGATACCCCATTCTAAATATAGCACCATGTCTATTTCAGTATATTACGCAGTTCCAAACCATAAAGTACGGCTTTGTTAGCCATGTACGGACTGTACAGTCCGATCAACACCAACCCCTTTACTGTGTAACCCTGTCGTCCTTTACCGAACAAACGTCATTGGCCTCAGCACTTTTCGCTATGCCTATGGCGTCGCGTATTTGTTGATAATAAAACAAACGGTAATAACTCATCCATGTGGTTTATGAACCGTCAAAACAAACACAAAACACGATAAGTATGCGTGTCTCCATTCACTATTCATAGGTGTTAGAATTTAACTTGTCCTGTGTATATAAGTAAACATTAACTTTGAAAAACACGATGATTGTTACATCAAGGAATGGGTTTTATTGCCTAAGCTATCGCGTTCTCCCAAACCAAATATTAAAAAATGAGACAACTCCAAACATTAGTCCGGGGAACAACTTACTTTTACATCAGGAACATGTTTGTTGAGACATGTCGATAAACATTTGAAATATTCGACCTTGACCTTATAGGAATGTTAAGGGCACCTAATTCCAGGACTTAGTTGAGAGTGGTTTCCCTTAGACCGTGTTCCATTATTGACTGACGGGCACCTTGCACGTCGTCTGCTTTCATTTCTATCGGTTCCAGTCATTATGATCGACCCATAATTCAAGTAACATAGTTTTGATATTTATAAACAGCTACGTAAAGAGTTTAAAGCTCTCTACAGAAGGAATAGCCAACAAAAAATGTTACTGGTTAATTCTAGAAATAATCCCAGATCCTTTTGGAAATTTCTCAGAAGGGGGAAAAAACCCAACTCACTATCTACAAACATTAGTCATGATGATTGGTGTGACCACTTGGAGCACCTGCTCTTCATGCAAAATGCTACTCTTGATTATTCAACATTATATTTTGTTGACCAAAATACAGAAGTGGTCTCAGACAGTTGTATAAACAGACCCTTCTCAGAGGAGGAAGTACTTTGGGGGCTAAAGAATCTTAAACTCAATAAGTCACCCGGACCAGATGGTTTGCAAAGTGAATTACTTAAAGCAACTAAAAATTACTTAACACCTGTCCTAACAAGAATATTCAACTCTTTGTTGAACAATGGAACATTCCCAAAACAGTGGGGCACTAGTATATTCTGTCCCATTCACAAATCTAACAGTATCGATGTGACGGATAACTATAGAGGAATATCTCTTATTGACTCGTTCTGTAAAGTGCTTTGTGCTATTCTTAAAAGTAGACTTCAACGCTGGTGTGATATAAACTCTGTCTTGTCTGAAACCAAGGCCGGTTTTCGGCCAAACTACTCAACGGTGGACCAGATATTCTGTTTACAAGCGATGATACAAAAATATTTATCAAAAAAGGGTGGTAGAGTGTACTGTATATTTGTAGACTTTAAAAAAGCCTTTGATAGTGTTGACCATGAAGTATTATTTAAAAGTCTAATTAACATGGGAATCAAAGGGAAATTTCTTAATCTAATTGTCTCTATGTATTCAAATCTATCTGCTTGTGATAGGACAGATCAGGGACTATCCAGGCATTTCAAGTGTAATATCGGTACCCGTCAGGGCTGTATCTTGAGTCCGTTGCTTTTTGTAATCTTTATAAATCATTTATCTCAAATGTTTGATAGTAGTGGTGGTAATGGTATCCTTATTACAAATGAATTCCCAAGTGTTGCAGCCCTCCTGTTTGCAGATGATGTGTCGTGTTTATCTGACACAGCTGTACGGTTGCAGAGGAAGATAAATGTACTCGAGCAATTTGGTAATGATACAGGCATGAGTATAAACTTGAGTAAAACAAAACTTATGGTTTTTCGTAAAGGTGGTCCCCTACGCCACTATGAGAAATGTTTTTTTAAGAGCAGGAAAATAGAAGTATTTAATGTATATAGCAGTGTAGGAAAGATAGCCCGTCCCAACGTCCGAGACGGGTGAATTTTCTGGAGGACGGGTTAAAAAAATATCTAGTCAGTCCTCATGTCGGGTAAATTTTAGCAAACCAATGACATATATATAATGATTATAACCTTTTTGAATATTTACTGCCGAAGTTGTTTTATTTATATTTGGAGGACAGGCTAGATTTTGGCAGGACTGGTAAATAATTTGACCTGCCAGTCCTGTGGACAGGCTAGATTTTCTACATCTTTCCTACACTGTATATAGATGCCTAGGTGTTGTGTTTACAACATCTCTCTCATGGACTAAGGCTCAGTGCTGTCTTTCTGCTCAAGCACAAAAAGCTTGTATGTCATTGTATAACTATCAAAATAAATTTGGAGCAATTTCAAGTTTAGATATATTCAAAATTTTGATGCAGCTATTTGTCCTATCCTTTCTTATGGAGCAGAGATCTGGGGCACGTCATACTGTAGACAGATAGAAAGTTTGCAAATATACTTCTGTAAAAGGTTTTTGAAAGTTAGTAAATATACCAGCAATGTTATGGTGCTGGGTGAATGTGGCAGAGTTCCCCTACAATATCAGTACATGTCTAGATGTGTCAAATATTGGTGTAGATTGCTTCAGTTAAATACTCACAGGTTGCCATATCAGTGTTATCAAATGCTTATGTTATTGGATAAAGCTGGTAGAAATACTTGGGCCACATCTGTTAAAAACATTCTGTATCAGTTTGGTTTTGGTATTGTATGGTTATCCCAAGATGTGGGTAATGTAAATTTATTTATGTTTACTTTCAAACAAAGGTTGTATGACAGTCTATGTCAAGACTGGCATTCTTTAATATCCAATTCATCAAAGTGTAATGTATATAGTAAATTTAAGTCATTGCTGAATGTAGAAAGATACTTAAGCGTAGATATCCCATATTATTACAAGAATGTCATTTCCCAATTTAGGTGTAATAATTTCCGTTTAGCGGTTGAGTTAGGTAGGCACAAAAACATCAATTATGCTGACAGGATTTGTACTTATTGTTGTACTAAAGGCTTACATTTAGTGGAGGATGAATTTCATGTTCTCTTAATATGTGAGAGATATGAAGATATTAGACAAGAATGCCTTCCTTCATGTACACTTGCTAATCGCAGTTTTGATACCTTTATTGGGATAATCTCTTGTAACAACACACACACTTTATCTTGTCTTGGACGTTTCCTCCATCATATAAAGAAAGTAAGAAGCAAACCTGATATTACAATCTGTAACTCATTATAGTCACAGTACTAATACCATGTACAATATGATGTTACTATTGTACTTGCATTTCTGTATTAATATCTCAATACATGAGAGATATGAAGGTATTGGACATATACACTTTTAACCAGTCTTGAAAATGTTAGAATGCTAATTTCTTGTAATAACATAAACACATTAACTTGCCTCATACGTTTCTTCTGTCATAGAAAGAAAGCAACAAGTAAATCTGATATTAAAATGTTTTATTTATTTTATTCACAGTACCAATAGTTAAGCATTTACAACACGATGTTACCTCTTTGCCTGTACTTGTATCAATATGTTGACATATGAGAGACATGTAAATTTTTTGACAAGAATGCTTTCTTTCCTGTACACTTGTTACTGCAGTCTTGATAATTTTGTCAGGCTAATCCATATTAACTATTGTCTTGAGAATTTTACTATGCTAAGTTTTTGTACCAACATAGATACATTAAATTGCCTTGTACGTATAAAGAAAGTAACCAGTAAATCTGATATTAAAATGTGAAATTCAACGTAATGCAACAACATAATCATAATAATTCATCTTGGATGTCTCCCTTGTCACATAAAGTAAGTCAAAAAGGAAATCTGATATCACAATGTTTTATCCATTATATACATTGTATCTAATACACTCAAGCATGTATAATGCGATGTACCAATGTGTCTGCATTTTGTATTATGGGCCTCTGGCCTAGAACTACAGAAATAAATCTGTCTGTCTGTCTGTCTGTCTGTCTAACATCAAACTGTGTTTAAGACTTTCAAATGGCTTAAACATCAGCATTGTTTAATTATTTTCACCCTTGTCCCTGTTGATATATGTAAATCCATTACTTTTCGTGGCCAGTTAATTCTGTTGTCCATAAAATACGTCCACATATCATCAGAATAAAATACACATTAATCATTTATTTAAAGTAAGGCTTCCGGTATTTTTTTTCAGCATTCTCATCTTTCGTATGCCCTATATTTTGTATTCAGACGTGAAATAATAGAAAGTGTCACGGAAAACAGCCTATTTTATTTCTAAATTCAGATAGGGATTAAAAGGCTCAGTCTTTGAGGAGTCAACTTGGATACAACAGTTTGCCTTACCGGATTTATCATGCCTTTGGGTGATATACCAAGTGGTTGAACTAGTGTTTGGGATTATATACCAAGTGGTTGATCTTGTGTTTGGGATTATATACTAAGTGGTAGAACTTGTGTTTGGGATTATATACCAAGTGGTTGAACTAGTGTTTGGGATTATATACCAAGTGTTTGAACTAGTGTTTGGGATTATATACCAAGTGGTTGAATTAGTGTTTGGGATTATATACCAAGTGGTTGAACTTGTGTTTGGGATTATATACCAACTCAAACTAAACAAAAACTCACCTCGTTGTAGTTCAGTACGCACGATATCCTTATGATTGTCCCATGGATCACACATCCTCTTATGTTAGTAATACAGTATTCATCCAGGGAAAAGTACAGTCAACAATCCATTATTTCCAAAGTGTTCGTGATGTTTTGGGGGTGGGACAAGTAACTCACTCAGGTAAAAATAAACATTGATTATCATTATGTCTGCACTCCACAATGAATAATCCATGACAATCCATGAAGATGAAAAACATTACATAAATTCTGACGTACTTTAGGCATATACTGGACCCTCGTGCGTTTGTGATTGTTTGAATGATATTTCAATCACCAGCACCAAAAATTGCCAGGGCCTAGATTTTCGAAGCTCTCTTAGCGCTAAGAGAGTCGGAAGTTATTGTTCGTGTATGGTACTTACGACTCTCTTAGCGCTAAGAGAGCTTCGAAAATCTAGGCCAAGATTTTTAAATGTAGTATTTTTGATATTTGACACACCGGCTAAACCTTTCCTACAATCGGCTGAAGGGATGGTGTAAATCTAACTATGATCCATGCAGGTAGCAAAAGCACTGTAGGTTCCTAGGTCCCTTTTATGGTGTTCTACCTTCAGTTGTTGACGACCTGTTTTTATATTGTATTGCCTTCGTAAATAAAATAATTTTTGATTTCCAGGCTAGTTTTAGACACCATCTGTGAAAGTCTAGTTATTTCACAGTCCTTCGATGACTTATTATTAAACAAATGTACTTCGTGTGTATGCAAAGCCTGTCTCGTCACTATATGGCTGAAATATTGCCGAGGGGACGTTAAATTTTAGCTCACTCACTGACTATGACAGGTGATTTATGGTCGTCCAACGTTGTAGAGCAGCTTTCCCGTTACCTCTGACATAATCCATATTGTGGGCAACATCCTGTCTATCCATCATGTTATAACTTCCTTCAACTCACGGGCTTTGCCATCAGGCATGTGTGGACAAATGTGACATTTCCTTTGCCCCTGTTGTCTATTTCTACACTGTGATGGGATTCACCAACCCATTAACGACCAGTCATTTGTCAGTGTTATAAACACTTGGTAGTAGGTGATAGTGTGATAGGTGGAACTATGATTAATAAATGTCCTGACGTTATAGATGAGTCCAGCTGTTTTCATTATGGACAGTAGCTAACCGAAAATAATATGTCTTCAGCGTGCGAGTATGAAAAATATCGATCTTAAAATGAATACAATTGCTACAGGACAATTCAGGACAGCTGTATGCAAGCAGTGCGATAGTGACGGAGGAGAGTGGTACAGAATACAGGTAAATATTTTGTCGGTATTGTTGAGAGCAGCGTTTAATAATCCCAACACTTTTTCAAATTCTAAAAGGTTCTTCAAAGCAACTCTCTATGTGGATTATTTATAAGAGCATAAACTGGAATTATGACAACGAATTGTGCAATTTCTCCCACTTCGTTTGCACTTACATCCCAAAGTTACACACTTTGCAATTGATGTACAATTGCATTCCTGCATGTCCTGACCACCAAACATTGACTC